GACCAGTGACCACTGAACTTCAAGGCCCTGATGAGTAAAATTTGTTTGTATCCAAACAAATGAACTTGTTCATCAAGTTCATCAAGGCCACTTGTTCATCATAACAGCCAAGAATAAGAATGGAAGCATTTAGGGGACTGACTTCTTGGATTTAGGCAGTAATTTTTCGTTATTTTGGTCTTGATTGTGCATTTGATAAATTCCTCAACATTCTACTCACACCTTTATTCTACAGCTCCTTTTACCTCAAGTAGGAAACAAGTGTTCTTGCTTCTTACTTGATTTCAGCTTTAGCATCCTCATCTGAAAGGTGACAAGACCAACTGGAGGACCTCTGCAGTATTTTAGAGCAGTCTTAATATTGGATAAATCATCGTATGACTCAATTGCTTTTACCCACTCTTATCAAGATTCTGGCACTGTTTTAAACTCAATTCTAATTCCTGTTTCTTGAGACAGAGGTCTCCAGGCTGAGTTCACTGTTTCTGATACCTCCTATTAGCTTGTTCCCTCTCACTTTACAAGAGCTTAACTAGCCATTATAGGAGACTCTTTCCAAAGGCAGGCTTTGCAAAATGTTTAGTGCTACATGCCATACTTCATAAATAAAATTGCATTTAGGATAATTTTCTCATATTTTAAAATGTTACTTTCATGATGAAAATAATACAGGAAAACATTCTTACTGCTTAAAAAAATCCAAACCGTAGTATACAGTGAAATTACTGCTTGGTTCTGACCCAATTATATTCAAGTCTTCTGTTAATAACCATTTTCAATGTTTTATACATAAAAGGAATCATCCTGCAACTTATTTATTTCACAATACAACATGGGGCTTTTTAACGTCAGCAGGTAAAGATCTAATTGAGAATAAAGTAGTAATTTTTAAACACAATTTTACTTGGTTCAGTCATTCACTCTTTAAGCACCTACCATGTGTCTGGCACATCATTTATTTTTTAAAGACTTATGATCTGCTAAGTACTGGGAAAAGGAAGCTGCAGATTCTGCATTCCTGGGACCTCCTGGTTCACATGGAAAGCTATCATGGAAGGTATTCAGTGGTACTGGGAACACAAAGGAGAGCTTGACTGATTAGGTCTCAAAGTTTCCAAGAGTTTCCAAAAACAGAACTGAGGACCCTAGAATGAATGCAGCTTACTGGGTAAACACTCTATTTCGGAATGATAAAGTCTTTCTCACTGTCTAAAACCAACTCTTTCCTAACAGATATTTGACAACTCTACACACTGCATTTTTCCTGGAACAGAATCTGCCCACTTTTAACCATAAGTGAACATACTATTCATTCAATAAAAATAAGCCTTTTTTAAGTACTTTGTGATAAGTACTATGCTAGCTTCTATAGCAGCCATAAAGATATGTAAGACCAAACTGCCAAACGAAAGAAGCATTAAATTTATTAGGGGGATATAAACTTGTAAACAAACGCACAACTCAGAAAAACAAAATCTTTGCATGCTAGAGCCCACAAAGTAGCTCCACTGCTCCATAAGGAAATACCATACAGATGTATCCTAAAACCCTTCCACTGTGAACTTTGATGGAACTTTGAAAAAGACCCAGATGTTCAGTAGATCTAATTTAAAGGGCTTTATGAGAATATGTCTGGAAAAAAATTAAAGTTAACGAGGACCTCTGGCTCCTTATCAAATATAAAAGGAGACAACTAGGTGACATATAGTCTCCAAATCATTGATCCTTAGTCGGCTTCAGAGATTCTGAGCCCTGACCACTCTATTTTCTCATTTACATTGAAATACCCTGAAATGCCCCATTCTATCCTCCCAGTTCAGGCTCCTAATAGTTATCATCAAATTATTTCTCACCTACCAATGGTCCCTCCCAAGTGTAATTCATTCAAATTCCCACCAAAACAATATTCCTAAAATACAGCTTTGATCAGGTAACTCGTAACTCTCCTGCTTAAATATCTTCACTATGTGTCCTTTATATATTAAGTGAAGCCCAAATTTTGCAGCCTGGTATTCAAGCAAGATCCTTTCGCATCTGGTTTTCTTATTCTCTGACTGCATATGCTTCATTCAAGCAACAAAACTTGGGGAAAGGTCATATCTCATTCACTTTCACATTCTCCTCATACTCAGGAGATACTGAAAGGATGTTAGACATATAAAAAGGTTTTCTATAAGCTTGAGGTCTTCTTTACTACTCGTATCTACTCCTAGCATGCATTGAATGCTAAGTCCACTGTTTACAACAGTAAAAGAATTAGCAAGTTTCCCTGTGTAACAGGAGCCCAAGTTGCTCACAATGTAATAAGAACAATGAGGCACCGCTTTTTCTCCTTTTCCTGCCTTACAATTGGTTTCCTACTCCTACTTGCTGCCAAGTAAACTACTTGTCTTAGGCTTTGCATTGGAGAGGTGTGGGGGAGAGCTGATTCAGATTAATGCAACTCGTTTCATTCCTCACCCCGGTTTTCTAATATAATTTATATCTGTGAATTGATAACAATTCAGACAGCATTTTCAAAAACTAATTTCATTGCATCCAAACTATTAATGTCTAAAAAGCCATCACATTTGTTTTACAAATGAAGATACCATGGGTAATTGCCATTGTGAAGATCACAATATTATTCATTCGATACAGTTTATTCAGAGTCTGCCACCATGTGGCCAGTATATATGGAAATACATAGAAAGGTTTCTAAACCCATGTTTTAATGGGAGGAGGCAGTTGATAAAAGAAGTCTTCCCAGAATAGCTGAAATTTAAACTGAGATACAGATAAATTTGTCCATAAGCAAGGAGTAAATCACAAAGGATCTCTTATGCAATGCTAGGGATTTGCATTTTATCATAATTGCAAAAAGGAGTTTTAAGGGAGTTGCAGGATTATTCTGGGAATAGGGAGGCCAAAGAGTACAAAGTTATACAGATGAAAAAGTCTAGATATCAGCCAGGCGTGGTGGCTTATGCCTGTAATTCCAGTACTTTGGGAGGCCAAGGCAGGTGGATCACAAGGTCAGGAGTTTAAGACCAGTCTGGCCAACATGGTGAAACCCCATCTCTACTAAAAATACAAAAATTAGTCAGGTGTGGTGGTGTGCGCCTGTAATCCCAGCTACTCAGGAGGCTAAGGCAGGAGAATCTCACGAACCTGAAAGGCGGAGCTTGCAGTGAACCAAGATAACGCCACTGCACGCCAGACTGGGCGACAGAGCAAACCTCCGTCTCCAAAAAAAAAAAAGTCTGGATATCTAACACACAGCATGAGGACTATAATTAATAATATTTCATTGTGTACCAGAAATTTTCTAAGACAGTAGACAGATGTTAAGTGTTCTTATCTTTTTTTAAAAAAAGGTAATTATGTGAGATGATGAATGTGTTAATTGGCTTGATTGTAGTAGTCATTTATGTATAGCAAAACATCATGTTGTACACCTTATAATATATAATAACAATTTTTGAATGTTTTCTTTATAAATATGTGTGTGTGTGTGTATATATCTATCTATATATATATAGAGAGAGAGAGAGAGAGAGAGAGAGTTGAGCATCTTGTAGTGCCCGAAAATAAAATTGTCAAAAAACAAAGTAAACATAAAATAAAAGTATGTCAAAGTGCTATAGGAGCCAGTCTGAAAGCTCACCCAATCGAGTGGCCAAACCTGGAACAATTTGACCACCAAAATAAAGAGTGTATTATTGAATTATAACCAAAATATTAAATACATATTCGTGAGACTTTGTACTTATCTATCTCAGTAATTATACTGATATAAATCTTTTACTAAATACATGAATATATCAATAAAGAGAAAGAGACATATGTTCCTTACAGAGGAATTTGAAACAGTTTATGGAGATACTCTGTTCTCAAAGAGTTGAAGCTTAACTCGCCATTCCCCAATGTGAGCTGCACTTACTGACTTTCTTCCAAATAATGGGCTATGAAAAGGCAGTCAAAACTAGTTTTATAGTTGAGGAACACCACATGGAACAGATGATAAAGTTTAGCATCACGGGTGACGTCATATTAATAGCATGTATCCATAATATCTGATGAGAAAGGTATCTGATCTCTTTAATTTGGAGGTTCTTTCCCCAAATCCCTAACTGCAGCCTACTCATGGGAAAAACATTTTAAAAAATTGAGGGATATTTGAAAAAATACCTGACTACTCCTTAAAAATTGTCCAGGTAATGAAAAATGAGGAATAACTGATTTTCCTTAATCTTTTCTGATCTATTACAGAAGAGACTAAGGACAGTTATTTTTTCCCACATTTAATGGTTGTGTTTTCTTAGTCTGTTCTGTCACAGATCAGAAGAGACTAAGGAAATACAATCACTAAATGTGATGTTATATCCTAGATGAGATCCTGGAACAGGAAAAGAATACCAATGGTAAAACTAGTGAAATCACAATGAAGTGTGGTGTTTAATTAATGGTAATATGCCAGTGTTTGTTTGGTAGTTTTGAAAAATGTACCCAGGTAATGTAAAATGTTAAGAATAGGGAAAACTGGGTTAGGGATCTCCATACATTTTCTGTACAAACTTTACAATTTTTTGACAAATCTAAAACTATCCTAAAATATGTTTATATTTTTAAAATAACAGGATGCAATGAACAGTTAGGCAACGTAAACAAGTTGATAATTGTCTGAACGAAGGAAGAATCAGCAAAACAAATGTGAAGACAGAGTCAAGTAGGTTTAACATGGTTTGATGACTGATATGATTTGGCCATGTTCCCACCTAAGTCTCATCTTGAATTGTAGTTCCCATAATCCCCATGTGTCATGGGAGGGACCCGGTGGGGAGGTAATTGAATCATGGGTGTGGTTACCCTCATGCTGTTCTCATGATAGTAAGTTCTCACAAGATCTGATGGTTTTATAAGGAATTTTTCTCCCTTTTGCTCAGACTTCTCCTTGCTGCTGCCATGTGAAGAAGGATGTGTTTACTTCTCCTTCTGCCGTGATTGTAGGTTGCCTGAGGCCTCCCCAGCCATGTGGAACTGTGAGTCAATTAAACCTCTTTCCTTTATAAAATACGCAGTCTTGGGTATGTCTTTATTAGCAGCATGACAACAGACTAATACAGTGACTATGTTAGGGGAAATAGGAGGCTGGTGAAGGAAAGAGGGGACAAAGATCACAGTGTTGGTGAGTGGCAGATCAAGTCACCAATCCAGGTCCTCTCCCTCTTCAGGACCATGAGATGGATAGCCTATAGCAAGTAGGAGAGACCATGGGGGAATACTCCAGGCCTAGAGCAATGGAAGATGAATAGAAAGATGAATATAGATGAAAGATGAATTAGAAAAATTGATGATGGATTAGATCAAGGGTCATGGAAAAGCAAAGAACAAGACCCAAGGAGACTCTAAACCTAAGATTTGAAATAATGGCAATGCTCTCAAGAGAACTGGAGAAATTTGGGAAAGGAGAATTGTTAAGAAATAAAATAATCAGATATGTTTTATAAAGTATGTTTGAAACGATATCGGGGCATTATGTGGAAATGTTCCACAGTACAGTGAAGCCAGCTAGAGTCTGGAGACATATACAATACATCTAGAAAAGTGAGAAAGAGTAAAAATGATCATATGAATTGGCAAGAATAAATTCATTAATAAAATATAAGACGTTTGGTTAAGAGTATGGGACTAGAAGCCAGAATCTACTGAAATTGTTTCTAAGATCTTCGTACACTCTCCCTCTTGCTATTGTTGTTCTACAGCCATTCTATATTTCCTTATCTGAAATGTGGTTATATATTAATTGACCTTTTGTCCCCAGATATACGCTACTACCTTTAGCTACAGAATTATTATTTGATTTTCATACGTTACAAGAAACATTTTTTTTTTTTCTTCCAGTAAACACGTTTCTCAACTGGATGCTTCCTTGTCTTATGTTTGAACATTTAGTTAATGATTGCTGTAGGGGATCAGTGCCAGCTGAGAGAAGAGCAAAGCTGCTGGAAAATGAGACTCAGAGGTCTATCAGTGAAGAGAGCTGATAGGAGTCATTCACAAAACTCTTCTGTGTCTAAGACAGTTGGTCTCCAACACAGATGGCTTGTCCCTATAAGAAAAGTTAATGTGGCTGGGTGCAGTGGCTCATGCCTGTAATCCCAGCACTTTGTGAGGCCGAGGCAGGTGGATCCCCTGAGGTCAGGAGTTCGAGAGCAGCATAGCCAACATGGTAAAACCCCCCTCTCCACTAAAAATACAAAAATTAGCCAGGCACCACGGTGCTTGCCTGTAGTCCCAGCTACTCAGGAGGCTGAGGCAGGAGAATCACTTGAAGCAGAAGACAGAGATTGCAGTAAACCTGTATCATGCCACTGTAATCCAGCCCAGGCGACAGAGTGAGACTCTGCCAGAAAGAAAGGAAGAAAGGAAGAAAGAAAGAGAGAAAGAGAGAAAGAGAAAGAAAGAAAGGAAAAAGAAGAAAAAGAAAGAAAGAAAAAGAAAGAAAGAAAGAGAGAAAGAAAGAAAAAAAGAAAGAAGAAAGAAAAAAGCTAACGTAAGAGCAGTTTCAGAAGCTTCCTATAAATTAAACATAAAATAAGGAAAGATTACACCAATACAAGGAAAGAGAAAGGGCAGGTAGTTGATCCCAAATGTGACATGAACCATCACATGGCAGCAATAGTAGCAGTAGGCACAGGCACTTATTAACCCCTTGTTGTCCCGGCCTGAACTATGAGCCTTATGTAAAGGCATTATCCTCTTTATTCCTCGTAACAATGCCGTGAAGTATCTACAGGTCCACAGTCCCTAATTCATCATTTCAGACCCACAGAGGGGTTTGTTTTGTTTTTGTTTTGTTTCAGAAGTTTCTCGTTCATTTCATTTTGTAACTCATTTTTAAGGATAATTATTTTCACTACATGATATGTTTTGCTGAAGAATTATTGGTATGATTAAAGCATGTTGTGCCTGGCACCACTGGGCTTTCTGAACTGCATCATATAACTTTTTAAAAATTTACAAAAAAAATTGAGTTTTAAAACCCATCCAGCCTGAGGGTATTTGCAGGAAAAATTATGAAAATTGACGGTCATAAATGTGAAGTTTAGCTCAAAATCACACATAGATTTGAACTGAGGTCTGTCATTCTGCAAAGATTAGACTTTCAGTCATTAAACGACATGCTGGTAATGTTACTATCTTTACAGCTGGCACCAGAATTTATTTTAAGGAAAGAACTGTCTTTTTTGGGAAAATATCCTGAAAAGAACTTGTTAGATATGGTATCTCCAGAGTCAAAGTGTCATCTGTTTCTGTTCTAGACAAGGAAAGAAACTGGTTGTTTCATTCCTGGCTGGAGAGCGTAGAAAAGAGAATGAAGAAAGAGTAACCAACATTTGTAAGTTTGGCTACTGCTTGGTGGGAAATGACCAAGAAAGACTTCCAGTTAAGAGTAGTTACAAAGGCTGACATGTTTTTAAAATATTTTGTTGCCCTGTGTGTGGTGCAATTCCCTCTACCATTTCTTTGCAATCTTATTAACGTCTACTATGCCCACAAATGCTTAGAAGGCATGGATTTTGCCCATGTTATCAGGTGCCACTGGATCTAACAGTGTACTTGACTCTGTAGACAAAAGGTCATGACATCCAGGAGTTTAGTAAAGGAGACAAATAAGAAAAATGAAAAATTAGAATTTCCAGTTTCACATGCTATAACAGAGACATGCTTAAGTGCAGGGTTTACATGGATGAGGAGACAACCCTTTCTGTGTGGCAGTATTAAATTAAGAATCCTGGCTTCTTGGAGTTTAATCCAGCGTTCTCTTCATGACGTTAAGATTAAGTTCATACACACACACACACAAATCAGCAAATACCATATCTACTAATCTGTTACCAGGAACAAGAAAATTTAAATCTCTGTGCTTCAGTTTCCTTTCTTATAAAAGAGAAATAACAATGCTATCAGGATTTAAATGATGAAAATAAAATACTACAGTGATTGATGAATAGAAACCTTTGAAAAATATTAGTAGTGGCTATAGTGATAATGATGATGAGGAGGATGTAATCAATGTGATTATTAAGTGATAGCTTTACAAACTACTAGGAGAGGCAAAGGAAAGTGAGAAAATCATTCCTAATTGCATCAAGCACCACAGACATTTTACCCAAGCTGTAGAGGATGCGCACAGGAAATAGGTACACATGCGACCTATCTGGAGAACGAGTAGTGGAATAAAACCAAGAGGTCATTTATGAAAAGTCATGAATTTCTCTAAATAATGAAAAATAAAAGTTGAAGAGTTAAGATGCAACTATGTCAAGGAAGTCTCCAAATGTCAGGCTAAATATAATAAGCTGTATATCTCCAGTTTCTGTCATTTTTTTCTTACTAGTTAAACTTTGGGCACAGAATGTGAAAATCAACAGGTGCCAGCCCAACATCCCCATTCCAGCATGTATTGTCAACATCCGTTAGAGCAGTTCTCTTGAGTTTTGTCATCACTCTTTACTCAGGTGAATAATTAGTCCTTGAATCAGAAGGGAGTAGGTCATAATATGTTTGCTTGAGTTCCCAAAGATAGACATGCATAAATATGTACTCAGACCGGTAAAGAAGAGAAGGAAAAAATGTACTCAAGGTTGAGCAATGTAAACACATTCAGTATGACTAGTAGTCTAGCACTATAGCAGGATTTCTCTGGTCAATGCACTCCTCATCTCCCAGGGCAAACAATATTTATTCTGTCAAGAATTGATCGTATGAGGCCTCAATATATTTTCGATTGTTCTAATTCACGGAAGGGGGTGATAGCATTACTAGCTAGCAATTATAATTCCTGGAGATGTGAGGAATAATATTTTTGCACAATATTGACTTATGGTTTCTCAGTTTATTCTCACACCAAATGAACACTGTATGATGTCTATTTTTGTAGTTGAGAAAACTGTTTTACCCAGTCATGTCACAGTTGAAATGGCAGATTTATAACTGGAGACAGGCTCCTCTCTCCATAGGTTTTGTTTATCCTCTTCAACTTGTTGTCTGAAAAGAGCCATTCCCTATCACAAATTTAGGGCCAGTTTTTAACTAGAATTCATCTTAGTATTGTAGTGATTTAAAAAACAAGATTGTCTAGGGTCCACAGGTATGTTTCTGTAGTGACATATTTTTCTAATTACAGATTAGTATTGGTGAACTGAGATGGAATAGAATTAAAAAATCTATCAAGAGTCCTCATTATAATAAGACTATGTTTTATTTTTTAACAACTGTGTTTGTCTGCTCCCACGTCTACATATAATACATATACTAGGCCATACCCCAAAATTTTTACTTTAGGTTCACAGTCAAATGTTTAAAAAGCACTGTTTGGTGAAAAGAGCCCAGGCTTTGGCATCAGGCAGGCCTAAATCTAAAGTTATTACTGCTGCTATTATTATCTAATGAGTTTACGTGACCAGATCCCAGCCAACTCCCTTCTCCCCACACTGCTTGTGAGACCCAAGGAAAAAAAATCCTTTTCTCACATATGAACCCTCCTTAACAGTGGTTATTGGAAGTTTCTTACTGGCCACAAAACTACTATTTAAATAATGATTTGAGATGAAAAGAACAAATATATTTTCATCCCAAATCAAATCAAATATGATTCAACCAATATCTATCAATGCTAAGACTAAACTCCATGAGGGCAGACATCATATCCATTTCCCCAGCACTCAGCCAAAAGCTTTCGTATAGTAAGGACTTGATGGATATTTGAATATACTAATAGTTGAAGGAATAAAAGGCCTGATGATGAGCCAATGAATGGCTACTCAACTGGAGGCACTGGAGACACAGAAATGAACAAGGCATAAACCTTGGTCTTCAGAAGTATATACATTTATCTCTTAATTTATGTTTTTAGGAAATATTTATTTAGTGTCTACTATTTTCCAGACACTTTATTAAGTGCTACAATAAATAAAGCAGCTGTATTTGCTCTCTAAAAATAAAGAGATATTACATAATAATCATACAAATAGCTGTAGAGTTGGAATTATTTTAAGTGCAATGAAGGGTTTTATGAAATCATACAATAGGAGGCATTAATCTAGATGCAGAAAGAAGTAAAGGAAGACCCAGAAAGAATGGCTTAATGAGAAAATACCTACCACTTAACCTTTAAACTTTAGAGGGTGCAATGCTGTTTTGTTTTGTTTTCTTGGTCCTAGCAAAGGGTAACAGAGAAATGACCAAAGTAGCAAGGAAATAACCAGACTGAGCAAGGAAGAACCTCTTGGGGAATAAAGATAGAAAGGAGCCAAGTCATGCAGAACCTAAATTCTTCCTGAGCATTCTGAACAACGAGAAACTGGACAGAGACATTATCAAATTTGCAGTCCATAAACATCCCTTGACTGTTCCATGGGCAGCAACTTTAAGGAAGAAATAACAACAAATATTGAGAAACTCTTTGCAGGAAATGCAGAAACCCAGGGGGGAAATGATGGCGTTGTCTCAGATATGACAGTGGAAGCTAATGAGAAGTGTCCGGGGTTGAGGTTATTTTGAACACGAATCCAAGAAGAGAACTTAGTAGCAAATTAAGTGTGGAAGATGATGCACAGAAAGGGGAAAGGGAAATATCAGGGAGAACAATGAGGTTTGGGCTTGAGTGATCTACTGGGAAGAAAAGAAGCTATAGGGAGAATAGAGACAAAAATACTGTGGTGAAAGATCAAAATAGTAGTATGGGACACATTAGACTTGAAGTAGCTGTAAAACATCCAAATAGTGATGTCAAGAACTAAACACTTCCAAAGTTTCCCTTTGATAAAAACCGAAGTCCTTACTCTAGCCTACACTAGATCTAGACCCTCACTGCTTCCTTTATTTCATCTCCCATTCTGCCCTCTATCACTTTGCTGGAAGCCAGACTGTCCTCCTGGATGTTTCTCAAACATGTCAAACCAACGTCAGCCTCACAGCCTTTGCACTTACTATTCTCTCTGTCTGGAATGCACATCCTTGGAATAATTACATAGTTCAAATCCTCATTTCCTTCATGTCTCTGTTTGATATCACCTGAAAAGCAAGACCTCTTCTGATTATGCTATAATACATATCTCCTTAACCCTCCAGCACCCTTATCCTTCCTATCCATTTCTCCATAATATATATCTGATATATTTTATAATCATTTATTATTTTTTGTCACCTGCCTCCCTCAACAAAAATGCAATGGAAGCTCCATGAAGACAGAGATTGTTATTTTTATTTACCGATCTGTCTCGAGAGATAAATACAGTTCTTGTCATGACTTGGAAAGGGTTTGAGATTTTATCCTACTTGGAAGCTAAGAAGTTAACCTGCCACATTATAATGGTTTCTGGCAGAAGGCACAGACTCCTGGCTCAGAGATAAGGGACTTAATTATTCCATAGCAACAGCCAGAGTGTTGGAATTTGTTCTGGTTTCCCAAGCCCCAATTTCCACAGGCCAATGTAAGGCACATCAAGTGATACTTGCAGAGAAAGTACAGTGTGTTGAAGGAAAGCAAGGCCAAGCTTTTAAAAACCTGAAATATTTTAAATAGGGCAATTAACATGATCTTTGCCCTAGAAGGAGATATTAACTTTATTACACTAAACAGTAAACAAACCTGCCTTTTGATGCAGAGGGAGACATCACATATTTGCTAAGGTCATTTGCTATACAAACACCCTTAAAAAGACAGTCTGAAACAAAGGTTATCGGTACCTCTACTCATAAGACACTCAGAAACATGAGAGAGGATGGAGAATTCTCTTCCAACAACACATGGTAGATAACCAGCACATATTCTCAAATGAAAGAGTAACCCTTTGAGTTAGATGTTATTATTATTTTAATTTCCAGATGAATACACAGAAGCACAGCAAAAGTGACTCCAACAAGCACCCTCTACTCTAGAATACACGCTTTAGGGAACTGAGTCCTCTCTCTCTTGCTCTCTCTTTCCCTCTCATCTGCCACTCCATCAGCTACTTTAAGCTTTGTGAATGGGTGATAGAAAAATAGAGAAAAGAGAAAGAAGAATAAGAAATGAAGAGTGGAGGAAAGGAAGAAAGAATGGAGAGGTTTTATCCTACTTGGAATAAAATTCTTTCTAGTCGCTATCCATACCTGCTCATCTATCCAGACCTACAGAGTAGAAGGGATCTTTGGGTTTACCTTACAGGGGAGAAAACAGGCTTCAGAAGGGTATGACTTTCCCCCAACCATAGAGAGAGCGGGATCAAACTAACCACTAGAACTATTTTCCTGACAGAATGTTTGCCTTGCATGTTTCAGGCCCACCTGGCTCCTTTCACCTTTCTTACGCAGGTGACATTCCCAGAACCTGGAGGCCAGGCTACAACACAGAGTCAATCAATAACCAGGGAGATCTATGATATAGCCCAGTAGGTGGGGCCTTGCTGTCATCTGCCATATGACCCTTCCAGTCCCAGGCTTCTGAAGAGACGTGGTAAGTGCAGTGCAGTTTTCAACTGACCTCTGGACGCAGAATTTCAACCATGAAGGTAACAGGCATCTTTCTTCTCAGTGCCTTGGCCCTGTTGAGTCTATCTGGTAAGTGTTTTTGCATATTTTTCAAATTTAAATAAAATCATTTTGACCTGTTGCTTTGTGGAGCACATTATCTTCTAGACTTTTGATGTAGTCTAGTCTTCGAGAGATCTTTTGGACCTAGTGAGATGAAATAGAATCCACAGATAAGAATTATTTTTTAAGAGGGATTTTTAACTTACTATAAGGAAAACAATTCTGCTAGTAAGAACTGCCTAGAGATAAAATGGTTTTCCTCTATTGATGTGGCTGACCCTTTGTTGGAATACGGTAGAGAAAAAAGGGTAAAAATATTTCAATTTTAACTATACTTCTAATTTTGTAAATGTGTAAGGCCAAATTACAATAATATATGTGATGTAAAGGGGAGTTTTTATTTTCAGTTTCTGGTATTTCTTATTAGTATCTGGAAATACAAAAATTGCATTTTGTGTATTTACATTACACGTTTTGAATGTTTTGAAAGAAAACATTCTGCTTGAATAGATGGCGCACATATACCCCCAACTGCATCTTGACAATGTTAACAGACAACTCTGAACCCTCAGAGCCAAGATCAGTTTCCTTTTTATCATTGGAAATAGTTAACATTTTCAACTTCACCTCTCGTGTCGCGACGGATCCTGTGGAGAGCCAAATCAGCACTTCGCTAAGAAGAGGAAGAATATTGTTTGTTGTATTCGCCGAATACTTATGGCAGCTGTCAGTGTTCCCTTTCCCCCTCCTCGTGCATGTTAATTAATACAAATAGATGCTTGTGATGAGCACCTGCTCATCAGTTTTTAGATTCAACTAGATTCTAAAAGCCAGTGGGCCCCCAACAACATCAAGTTCTGACTATCCTGGGGGAAATTCTCCAAGCTCTTAGATGCCTCACTAATTTTCATTACATTTAGATACAAAGAACTACCTCTTTACCCAGATCACCTCAAAGATTGATGATATTAAAAATTAATTTTCACAAATATTTCCTTATTTGGATGCTATCAGATTAATTCCCTTTCGCTTCCATGAACTCATCCACAGTTATCATTTTCTACATGATGTCAGCAAAACCTATGCTATCTTCCGGGGAACGGAGATTAGCTATTTTGACTACCTGTAAATTCAATAAATGTGAGTTGGACCCATAGTCCATATGATGCAATTGTTGGAAATAGCTTTTTGGGAACTGATAGTGAGTTGGCAAAAGATCTCTATTTTTTCAATATTACTTACAAAAGAGAATTTAACTGTAATTGAAAAAGCTAATTTTGCATCAGAAGGCCTGGTTACTGCTTGTGATAACTGTTTCACAGCTTTTCATCTGTAAACAGATAGAAAGTATACTTCACTAATTGTGAGATTAAAGATCTAGTAACTGGTTTTGAGAATGTTTGTGAGGATTCAAAAGATAATTTGCTCAGTGCCTGATACATTTCCAGCAGTAAGTACATAATTTCTATTTTCAAGGAAATAGATCAACTTCCTAAAACATCAAATTGAGATACTTTGGTCATAATCAAAGTTTTACTTAATCTTTTTAAGGTTTTGCCAGGGAGGGGGTGCAGGAAAATCAGTCAGACACTTTCAGAAGATTATAGAAATCAGAAAGGGTAGGGAATGAAAGAGCCTAGTAAAGAAGTCATGGTCTGCAGTGAAAGCAGAGAATTCTGAGGAAGAATAGATCTGACTTCTCTCGTTTAGGACCCAACTTACCATATCTGATTTATTTCCAGGTAACACTGGAGCTGACTCCCTGGGAAGAGAGGTAAAGAGATATTTGTAATTTCTTATTTCTCAGGCTGGAACAGTTTGATCCAACAAAAATGCAGCCTTGCTGTCACCTTTCAGTTGAGCCTGAAGTTAAGAGGAGTATGAATGCTAGGGAGGGTTAACATGTGAAATGCAAACGGTAATAGTAGTTCCACCCCACAGGCATATATTGAAGGATAATTTCACTGATGTATAAGCAAGTTCTATATAGTCCTACAGTGCTTGCTGTGAAGGGGTTTTTATATAAACTAGTGATAGCTGTAAACAAGTATTTGGGGTGGAAGCCTTCTCAAGTTCACTCCAAGTAGCCCTTCCTCCTTACAGCCAGTTTGACCATGTTGGCATGCAGCTCTCCCAATGACCAAGGTGTGGCTCTAATTTATAATGAACAACAGAAAACAATAAACTAGGTTCTTCTTCTAGAAAAATATTCTAACTCTAATCTTTTCATATTTTTTTGTTTAAAAGGTAATTTCAGTAAATTTGGAGACCAGAGGAAGAAGTGTCCCTCTTCTCAGTACATTTATATCTAGTCAGAGACAGCTAATAGACCAAAAGTTCATGAATGAACACATTATTACATTTGTGATAAGTGTTACGAAAAAGATATGCTGCCATTAAGAACTTAGCCTAGTTAGAGAGATCAGGGAGGGTGCTCCGAAGTAAGTGAGGGGTCATTTTGAGCCAACAATAATAATAATAATAATAATAATAATGAGTGTTAGCAAAGCAAAACTGGTGGGGAGATGTAGTAGAATGAAGTAGTTAAGAGCTAAAGCTCAGGAACTCTGACTAGGTTTGAATTCTGAATTTAGGAATTCCTTAGCTAGGTGTCCTTGGCTAATTTTATTGCTTTGTGCCTCATTATCTTCACCTGAAGAAGAATATAATACTTAGTTCACAGGATAGTTAGGCGGTTTAAACAGAATAATATGTAAAAAGCACTAGGATAGTGTCTAGGACAATGCCAATCACTTGATGATTATAAACTCTTACTAGAGTAGAATGCAAAGACTTCCAACACTGGATGATGGCTAGTGCCTTTAAGTGCCTAATAGAAGGCCAGTGTGTGTGGACTATAGTGTACAAGGAAGAACATGCCTCAAGATGTGGCCAGCCTGAGAGATGCCAGCATCTGCAGTAACTGTAAACTTGAACATTATCTCACCCATCCGTGCAAACCTCACAACAACACTATGAGATAGGTGGGAAATGGTAATATCATCACCATTTTGCAGATGAACTGACTGAGTTTCAGAAGGGCCATAGGACTTACTAATGTCACACAGTTTAGAAATAGCAGAGGCATGACTTAAAACAAGGTTTTCTGTCTCGAGATCTTAGGTTATTTCTCTTACAACACACAGTATCGTTCTCCCAATCACAGTTGTGCCCCAGAGAAATTAAAACCATTTCAGAGATTTTGCTATGAACTCAAGAATGGAGAATAATGGGAAATGATTCTGTTTAATTCCATTTTTAGGCCAAATGTTACAATGAACTTACTGGATGCACCAAGATATACGACCCTGTCTGTGGGACTGATGGAAAAACTTATCCCAATGAATGTGTGCTATGTTTTGAAAATCAGTGAGTACAAACTTGAGTTTCTTTTAAACTATATATTTTAAGATAGTTATCTTCAAATATACTGATAATATGAATCTCACCCTGAGAGAAGCAAACTATTTACTTTTTCCAAAAACAGTTATCTCTTTCTTATTCTCCTTTTTATACATTTAGCATTATAATATTATTTTTAAAAAGTCACTTTTATGATAAAAGTCTACATTTTTACAGCAAAATAGTTGATAGATTGGATTTTTATTAATCTTATACACACAAAATACCTTTAATTAAAAAGAAATATTAGTGGTTGCAATGATTGTGTTTTTTAAAGCTCTCATTTATGCAAATATAAATTGTATAGATTATATAACCAAAAATGTATTTTTACTCATGGATATGAAAGCCAGTTTCAGTAAAGCTTCATTTTCTCAGTATCCATGAGTAAGAGATGGGATACAGAGAAACAGATTTGACACAAATTTCCTATCTCACTCAGCAACTGAAACCTTAGCATGTGTAAAGCATTATGCTAATATTCCTTGTCTTACTGGTGCTTATGACTAAGAAAACGTCATGAGCACATATAGGATGGCTTCTTATAATTTTGGGCAAATGCCAGAAGATGAGGTGTAAATAAAGTGCAACAGGAGTGAAGCAGGGATACATATTTTTTGTTATTAAAAGGGGCCAAGAAAGGATCCATGAAAAGAATAGAATGCCGGCCGGTGCCGTGGCTCACTCCTGTAATCCCAGCACTTCGGGAGGCCAAGGCAGGTAGATCACCTGAGGTCAGGAATTTGAGACCAGCCTGGCCAACATGGTGAAACCTCGTGGTGGCAGGCACCTGTAACCCCAGCTACTCAGGAGGCTGAGGCAGGAGAATCGCTTGAACCTGGGAGGCGGAGGTTGCAGTGAGCTGAGATTGTGCCACTGCACTCCAGCCTGGGTGACAAGAGTGAGACTCCATTAAAAAAAAAAAAAAAAAAAAAGGAAAAAAAAAAAGAATAGAATGCCATTTAAATAGAGCTCTGAATTTTGGCAATATCAAAAGAGCATGCCAGGTTAAATAAAGGTGTGGAATGAACAAAACAAATAAAAGGGGATTCCACGAGTGACTTTAGTTTTTCTGAGATTGACTTGATATTAAAGACTTTGACTCAGGCTCAAATGACTGTGTAAATTTCTATTATATTCTACTGCATAACTTTCCTTGCCTGTAATGCAAACCTTCTTCTTGGACTGGTTTAAACCATTGTGGAAAATTCTCAGAGTTTAGCAAGTATCGTGGAAATAGGTCCACAGGATGAGAGGTCTAATATCTTGAAGTTTTAGACCCAAAACCTTAGGTATTCTACTTTGTAATGAATCCGTTTCCATAACTAAGACTTGTAAAAGGAATCTGAAGCCACCTGTTAGTTTTCTCATGACCCACGTTTTTGACATTAAGGTCAAACATCAACTTTCCATCCAATGGGAGGAGAAAGCAAGAGAACAACAGCTTTGAGATTTGGGAAATTTCCAAGTGCCACTCAACATTTACAGTGAAACGTTAGAAAAATATTAGTAGAGGGCTGGGACACCCTGTCTGCTTAGTCTCTGAAACCTACGAGTTTCTGTTTACTCTTTCTGTTTGTTCAAAAATATGTAAATATGGGAGGCACATTTCTATGCTAGAAAACATGACCTCTCTTTCTATATTTCTCAGATAAGAAAATCTAGAGACAAAATGTTGCTTTCTCAAATACAACATATTTCCTAAAGTATGACATTGCCCTTATCACTGTTGATTAAAAGTCCCCAACTTATTACCTAGTAACTAAAGCCAGATGCTGACCCTAGTTTGAGACAAGTAGATAATACCAAACAAGGGCTTGCAAATCAGTCTTCTTGGTCATTGTATGCTTGGCAAATATATTCAAAAAACACTTTTTCTGTTCCTTCTATGTCTTCATAGGAAATCTGTACTGGCAAATTCTTTTCCATAAATCTGCATTTCCAATAGAACCTTCTATAATGATGGAAATGTTCTATGTTTATGCTGTCTAATACATAGCCACTAGCCACAAAACAGTAGACTTAACGTGGCTAATACTAACTTAAATGTGGCTAGCATAACTGATAAACTGAATATTTATTATTACCTAAACTAATGTAAATTTACATAGCTATATGTCGACAGTGAATATATGAAACTAGAGTGAACAGCGTAGCAACTCTTGTTTATTCTGTTTAGGTATGTGTGCTTATGCATGCTAACTGATTTGGAAATCAGTATTAATGAGTACTTAATGATTGTGGGACAAGAAAGCATTAAAAAGTCATGATTGTGGGACAAGAAAGCATTAAAAAGTCTTAAAGAGTTTCGCTGAGCATGGTGGCTCATGCCTGTAATCCCAGCACTTTGGAAGGCCCAGGCAGGCGGATCACTTGATGTTAGGAATTTGAGACCAGCTTGGCCAACATGGTAAAACCCCGTCTCTACTAAAAATACAAAAATTAGCCGGGCGTGGTGACATGCACCTGTAATCGCAGCTACTCAGGAGGCTGAGGCAGGAGAATCACTTGAACCCGGGAGCCGGAGGCTGCAGTGACCCCAGATCACACCACTATACTCCAGCCTGGGCAACAGAGTGAGACTCTGTCTAAAAAAAAAAAAAGAAAGAAAGAAAGAAAAGAAGAAAAAGAAGTATATGGAAGTCAGATGTCCTCCAGTAATAGAGAAGTAGAAGAATTTTTGTAAGCCAGTATATTCAAAGAAAAAATGGTTAGAAAAATTAAAGACCTGGAAACAGTCTTCTAGGGAACAATTACAACATTTAGAGATATTTAGCTTAGAGAGGAGAAAACTGGTTTGGTAATGGCAGTGTGGGGCGAACAGAGAGGTTTTATCTGGAGGGGAGGATGTTTAGAACTGGCAGGAATCATGTGGAATAAATATATGATTTACTTTTGCGAGACCTCACGGAAATGAATCCCCAGAGCTCTAAGATGAAAGGTCAGTCAATTAGAAGGTCCAACAACAGCTCAGGCAGCAGCTCAGATGGAAACCTGGTGGCGAAGGCAGAGGCATCAGGAGCAAAAGATGCAATGATGGATTTGAGTTTAATTTCAGGGATTCACTGTAACACTCCAGTAGATCTGTAAGAACTGTAAGGACAGATGTTTTTCCTTTCTGTTGTATCCTTAGAGTATACAACAGTAATCAATAAATATTTGATGAATTAATAAGTGAATGTATAAATGAATGAAAGAGAAAAGATTCTAAATCTCAAAGCCCTCTACTTTAAATGAAGTTATTTTCCCCCGTTTTTCTCCCATAGTCACCTTTTTGTCAATAAAGTTTAAGCTGATTTTTTTTTTTTAATTTCTACTGCAGGAAGCGCCAGACTTCTGTCCTCATTCGAAAATCTGGGCCTTGCTGAGAACCAAGGTTTTGAAATCCCATCAGGTCACTGTGAGGCCTGGCTGGCCTGATTGTTGAATAAATGCATCGGAATACTCCCTGTTGTTTCCATTTGCTTTTTCTCAAAGGTATGTTTGATTATACCAGGGTCAGGGGACTTTGGCAAGACTCAGAATAGACCAAGTTTTAAAAACACCAGGAATCCTGTAATTTCACACAGGGTTTTTCCCTCACAATTCCTTTTCTTTCCTCATCTTTCTTACATCTTGAGGTCACTGCCTGAGAAAATGCGATTGCAGATATTAAATGGCAGAGCACGAATGATCATGAATGCAAGTAATTCTGCAGAGGACTGGACTACTATTTTAAGGAACAACTGGAAAATACCCAGTGCAGAAACATGTTACCCATCACAGTTTGCTGACTGAAGTAACTCCTTTAGGCTTCCTTGGGATTTGATCGAGCATCTATTGAGCCTGGCACAGGTCTACATGCATGAGCACAGAGCTGCCTGTCTGGTGTAATAGAGTTTATTTAGTCTTTGAGATTTTCCATTTATCTCAGAATGTAGAGTTTGGGTCAAACATAATTGTCTCAAAAAGATTTGAATCACTGAGTAAACAGAAAAAAAAGTACATTTTCTTAACAAGGCTATGGAGCAGCTTGTGGACGTAGCCTTAGTTCTTCGCCAGCAGGGCCAGTTCCCCATTAGTTACTAAGGTGACTAGTGGTAAGGTAGAGCCTGTGGTTGTGCCTGATAACCCGGGGCTTGGATGGAGGGCTTGCTCTTGTGCTTCCCTGGGAGATCTGCTTCACAGGGCCTGATGGGTTTGTGCTGTGCTAACCTGAGGCAGGTGGGTGGGGAGGCCTGATTCTGGATTAACTTTGGGAATGGTCTCTTCTGCTATCAAACCATTCCCAAAAGATAATCTGACAAGGAAAAAAGTGACTATGGACCAGATGAACTGATCAAGAGACCTTTGTGCAGCGCACTTTGGTTTATGTGTAAGCCAAAACAACCCTGTAAGATTATCCTTATCTTATGAGTAAACTTAGATCTAAGTGAAATCACCTGCCTAATATTGCCAGCAAGCAAAGCAGCGGGTTTAGGCTTTTATTATAATATAGGACGGAATTCAAGTCCAATGCTTCTTCCATGAAGCCACAATCACCTCACGTGAGTTATTCATTGCCTATTTTTTCTATAGAAACTTTAGATAACACCTTCCTGTTAAAAAGGTCTATGTGTTTATATTCAGGGAAGCAAATAAACTAAAGAAGTGCCCCCAAAGAAAAGTAAAAGTATGTACAGCTACTAAAAGAAGAAGGAGGAGGAGGAGGAGGAACAAAAAAAGAGGAGGAGGATGAGGAGGAAAGGAGGAGGAGGAGAAGGACGGGGAGGGGGAAGATGAAAAAGCAACTTGAATTCCCAAAGTCATGAGGAACTAGCCTAGAATGGAAAACTAGGTAGAGGGCTAACAGAGCCCGAGATGCAGCAGGTTTTCTAATATACAGCAGGAAATAGATCACCTATTGAACCAGAAATAAGCAGTCAAAAGCTATTTCACACTTGCCAAACACAGTTGCCGGACACTGTAAGGTTTAGGTTAATTTTTTGTGATATTCAGAATATACACGTCTTGAGGTTTAAATCTGGCCACTAGAGGATGCTGTAGTCTGCCAAGTGCCTCAGTCAAACCCCCGTCTAACAGCTCTCATAAAATATCAGGCTAACAGCAGTTACGGATGCAAGATGGCTTCCAGCATCTTGTCTGTGATGCTAGATAGAGGACACTCGAAGGACAGCCCTAATATTAAGGACCTTTGCCATAATAAACAGAATTTAAATAGTTGAATGCTACAAATTTTCATGCCCAATTGAACCAGTTTACAAGTCTGGAGAGACAAGCCTTAGAGATTATAAGAAGAAGTAACCCATTAACCCAAACTGTCTGTCTCTAATGTTCTGTTCTCTCTCTGACCCATCAGAAAGCATGTGGATTGCTATGTTCGTGTATGGTAGTTTATTAGGCCATTCTCCCATCGCTCTAAAGAAATACCTGTGGCCTGGCATGGTGGCTCATGTCTGTGATCCCAGCACTTTGGGAGGCCAAGGCGGGTGGATCACCTGAGGTCAGGAGTTCGAAACTAGCCTCGCCAACATGGTGAAACCCCATCGTTACTAAAAATACCAAAATTACCCAGGATTGGTGGTGAGCACCTGTAATCCCAGCAGGGATTACACCTGTAATTCTCCTGTCTTTGAGGCTGAGACAGGAGAATCGCTTGAACCCAGGATGTGGAGACTGCAATGGGCAGAGATCATATCATTGCACTCCTGCCCTGGCAACAAAAGTGAAACTCTGTCTCGAAAAAAAAAAAAAAAAGAGAGAGATACCTGAGACTGGATAGTTTATAAAGAAAAGAGGTTTATTGGGCTTATGGTTCCACAGGCTATACAGGAAGCATGATGATGCAGGCATCTACTCAGCTTCTGGGAGGCCTACAGTCATGGTGGAAGGTGAAGGGTGAGCAGTCAGGTCACATAGGCCAAACAAGAGCAACAGAGAGGGGAGGTGCTACACACTTTCAAACAATCAGATCTCAGGAGAACTCATTCACTATTGAGACAGCCAAGTAAAAAGGGCTCCCTGGTGAACCTCCAACCAGCCTGAACTGGGAGAATGACACGGAGCCACAGAAGTTTGTGCCCTTTGCAGAGGCGAGGAGTCCGACCTCTTGAGTTCCTGTGTGGTGGGGCAGAAGCCAGATAACAGGCTTCCTTCTCGCTCTCTGAAAGTTTGAAAGTTTTTCTCTTTTTCCTTTTTTGCCCAATAAATTCCATTTTTCTCACCCTTCTATGTGTCCACGAGCTTAATCTTTCCTGGCTGTGTGACAAGAACACAGTTTTTAGAAGAACTGAGGAGAAAGCCCTACAACACTATCACAAGAACAGCACCAAAGGGATGGTGCTAAATGGTTCTTGAGAAATCCACCCCTATGATCCAAATTACCTCCCACCAGGCCCCACTTCCAACACTCGGGATTTTGACATGAGATTTGGGTGGGGACACAGAGCCAAACCCTATCAGGTAGTTGTGTCTTAAAAGAGATTATTTACAAACCAGAATATGTTTAGAGGAAGAAAACTACCAATATTGATAAGAATTTGAAATTTTGCTCCATGATGAGTGGTTGGAAGAAGTAGGAAAATTTGTGCTAAGCAAAGGAAAACGCTTACAACTCGGTGGGTCTTTTCAAAAGATTTAAGGGATTAAAATGTTAACACCATGGACGCAGAAATTTTATCCTTTTTTCACTGCTGTTTTACAGGCTCAAAGACAGTATCAAACACCTAAGAGGTACTTAATCAGTATCCTTTTTGGTACATAAATGAATAGGGAAGAGGAATGAACATGATCTGGTTAGCCTCAAAGGGTAGAATTTAGACTAATTGGGTAGAGATTAAATAGATACTAATTTTGGTTCAGTGGGAAAATGTACACTATAATGGTTAAGATCAGAGGCTCTGATTTAGAGAGGCTGAGTTTGAATCTGACTCTGCCTCCATCAAGCCCTGTGTCCTGGGAGAAGTTGGAGAATTTCTCAAAGTCTCAGTTTCCTCATCTCCAGTAGGGGTTAATGATAACAATTCCCACATAGAGCAAATAGCACAATGCCTGCCATATAGTATGTACTCAAGAATAATTAGTTATTGTTATTATTCATCTTATAATCCTTTGGGCTCACTAAAACAGTGACCAATTGTCTCCTGGTATATAAACATTTCTATGATAGAAACTTTACTTCTTCAAGTAATAATTTATTGCATTATTTACTTCTTCAGGTAATAATTCGTTGCATTATTTATTTCTTCAGGTAATAATTTGTTGCATAATTTTGTAGAAGATATTCCTCAACTGGGTATAAGATTGGACTAAAATCTCTCCGTTTTTAATAGTAAAAAAATCCAGAATTATAAACCATGCCTCCAAAACAGAAATTCAAGAGTAATGACTGAAGACGAATTTTGTGGGCTAAGAAGGGTTTTGTAGCCCTGTGAGGGAATAGGGTAATAAATTCAGCTCACACTATTAGGTTCCCCATCCCTGGATGAAAAAAAGAACTATAATCCTCATTAAATACAGGACCACAGAACTGCAAGTAAACTCCAAGAAGGCATAGTCACGGGGCCAGTACATTTCTGTACAGTTTCCTCTATTGGTTTCAGAACATTTGAAATATGAAGCTATCTGATGGGAACAGCGTATTAAAAACAAACAAAAAAATTGCACCATTGGAGAAGTAAATGTGTTTGAAATTAAACATTTTAAAATATAATTTATACTAAGCCTTCTGAAAAATAAGAACTTGAAAAATATAGTCCCTTTATTTCCATTTCTCTGACCCAATTTATCTCTTAAAAACCTTAGTTTATTCCACCTATATATAAATACAATTTATTTGCATAATAAGGGAAGCAATTAAATTAAGAAACATGCAAAGCTTTTGCTTTTCCAAGCCCTAGCACTGCCAACAATTTTGCTTTTTTTTACTCTCACAATCCAGTGCAGAGAGATCTTTTGTTTTCTTTCATTATTTAAACAAAAGCTAACTTTTAGCTAAAAATATGCAATATGTATATAACAAAATGATGTTCACAAAAACGGAATAATGTAGATCTTTTGCTTTTAAACAAATCAAAAGTCACTAAAAAGCCAAGAAATAGTGAAAACAAACAAAATAGACTGATTGGAGATCAAGTCAAAACCTTGTTACTTGGTTGGGATGCTACTTGTGGCTAGGTGCCTTTTAGATGTGTTCAAAATAAATAAATAAAAATGGAGGCTGCAATTTAGATACCCCATGGTCAACTGCCCATAGCCATGTAAACAAAATTTAAATCATCCTGATTTCCCTGAAATCTTAACCTTGAACATAAACAAAGCATAGACATTAGCATTTTGTCCTTTTCAGCATGGTTCAATGAAATTAAACCAGTAGCTACAGATAAATCAGCTTAAATAGGCTCTGTTGCCTTAAAAACAAATATATGACAGCTAATCATGAAAACGACCAAAATACTTTCTCCTTCAGG